GGGGTCGGACTTGATGACCTGCTCAGGTCCCTTCTGACCCTATTAACTATGAAACTTCCCCAAAGCTTAGCATCATTGGCAAACTTTGCTAGTGGGCTTTTCAGCCCCAAATCCAGATCATTGATGAAGATGTTGAAAAGCACTGGTACAAGTAGCAAACTCTGGGGGACCCACTGGCTACCTTCTGCCAAGTCAACATGGATCCATCTATTAGTACTCTCTGCATCCAGCCCCACAGCTAGTTTCCCACACATCTGACTGTTGAATTGTTGAGCGCACAGTCCCCTAGTTTTACCTTGAGATCCTCATGGGACGCCAAGTCAAAGGCCTTCCTAAAGTCCATATAAGTGACATCAACCTCATCTCCCTTATCCAGGTGGTGAGTAAGCTGGTTGCAGAAGATGAGGTTAGTCAGACATACACCCTTTTTCAGGCTGAGAATTCAAAGATTTGAATTCAAATCTTTGAAAAAAAGATTTTTCATGCTACTATTTAGTTGGTCTAATAGAAGATATTGCCTCTGACCCAAGAGCTCTGTGCATCCATCTCTCAGAACAATACAGCTACAAAATAGATCCCTGAAACAGGAGGAAAGTACACTAAGAAGATAATGAAAAAGAGCAATCAGGTAGGTAAGAAGTAGGAAAAGACAACCACAAGGGGAGAGGGATCTTATCAAAGCTAGCGATAAGTAAAAATGAGACTAGAAAAAGCCATTTAAAAAAGGTTGTCAGAAAGTTTGGTAAGAGAAGTTTCAGTGACAAAAGGAGACCAGCAGAACAGGGTGTTCTCTTGCACACTCCTGATTAAGGATAGCACACTGTCCAATATTGTTAGAGCACTCTGGAATGGCGCAAGTCAAAGGCCTAGGTAAAATGTTAGCAGGATTTAGCAAGACAGGCAGACAATTCTAGAGAGATTAAAACTTTAATTTAAAACTTTGCCAACAAAAAAAATTGATTACAAAAAGGGAAATTCTCTGTACAAAAGAATAAAGGAGGTACTTGTTCAAACAAGAGACTGTCATTGTCAGCATATACTGTATACTTGAGCACTTGAGAGTAGTGCTCCAGGTCAGCAAATGAGGAATGCCAAATATTTAACATTCATTTTGAGATTTTCAGGGGTCCAAATTTGCTATAACCAGTCAACTTAGTCTTTTGAAACTGTTAAAAAAAAAACAAAAACCCCGTAAGCTTGTGTCAAAAGGTTCTCCAACCCTCCCACTCCCCTCCACACACACACACCCCACTTGCAAAACACATTTGCAAAGTTAGAAGCCATTCCTTCTGCAGCCTGCGTGTCAAGGTGACAATCACTTGGGTGCACAGCACGAATTAGCTATGTTAAAGTCCCCACTTAAGGCCTTGCCCTGGCTCTCTGCAGTAGGTAAATCAACAACTAGACAATCACTTCAACTGCTGCCACTTTGTAAAACCAGACTGTTAAGCAATGTGAACAACTGCTTTAGAGAGACTGTGACATGACTAATTGAAAGCCAGCTGCAACAGGATGGCTCCTGAAACATTACAAGTCAGCATTATTAACAGCTACAGGTCAACAGTAGATTAGCATTTATGCCACTGGAGTCCTTTTCCACCAAAGGATTTTAGTATAAATAAAACAAGGCAAGAGCATCTTTAACATTTTATTACTGGAAACAGAAGTGCTAAGTGATTTCTGAGCCTCCATGCTTCGACAAAAACCAAAAGACATGCAACATGATGCTTGCCAGTTCCCATATTCACTCATGAGCAAGACGACCAACAGTTATATCTTTCCTCTTTCCATGCCACAACGGATCCTTGTGAAGCTACTCAGATAAACAAGCAAATTTTCTTTTCCCAGATTCAGGAAATTACTAGTTGTAAATACAGTATCTAGAATCTGTAAACCTGCAGAGCACAAGTCCAATGGAAAAAAAACAAACAAACCAGCAGTAATAAAAATACTTAGCTCTGACAGATCACTTATAATTTCACAGCACTACTCAAAATGACTCTTGGAATCCCTGTGGATGGTAAATATCATTTATCCCATTTTACAGATGGGAAAATTGAGGCTAAGTAACTCGCTAAAGGCCATATGGTGAATAGTGGAATAACAGTTGTTAAGATTTCCTGGCTCCTAGCCCTGTACTCTGCCCATAAGAGCATACTGCCTTACAATAACAGCAAGAGAATACTATAGACAATCATGCCCTGCACCTCCAAGAAAAAGACATATGGATTGAAAAAGTATGTTACTTCTTGTTTGAGAAAGGACTTGGGAAAACAAATCAATTCTCTTGTAACCTGGAACAAGTTTATTTCCAGTGATTCTCTAACTCCTTAAAGCTTTCAAAGCAAATGCTGTAATCTCAGTTAATACAAACATAACCCTGTAGTTAGTACCCTTCACAATAGCCACCCACCATATGTACATTTTCTACTTTTGTGCTATTTTGTTTTGCAACTAAAATATCAACCTTGAAGCCAATGGTTTGCAGTTTGGAGACGGATACAATTTTGACTCAAATGCAGCAAATGGTGGACATTACAAATCACAGATTTAGAGTGCTGGGAATATTTGTTATTGTAATTACTAACAGGAAAGCAAAGCTGTTTTTTGCCCTTAGCCTTTCCCCTCTCATGCTGCAGTGGACAAGGAAATCTCTCTCCACAAACACTACACCACAAGAGAAAACTGCTTTCTTGAAATGTAGCTTGGTAACAAGATTAAGTGTCTCAGAAACATCCTCTCTGTTATGAATGCAGTCCAATTATGCCACTTAAATAAAGGTTTCAACACCCTGAAATCTAAATGCCGGTATTGAAGAATTAGCTTTTCAGAAGCAGAATGGAGAGGTTGGTCTGATCCAACCTTTAGCCAAAGGCTGGATTCTTATCTTGCCACAACCAGACAGAACTTTTCACGTATCAGAAGAGAAACCAAGGTACCAAACACAATTAGCACGTACCACTGCATCAGAGAGGAGGGCAGTGAAATGGATGCACACTGTGACAGACAGACAGTACTAAGGCTTTCCTTAAAGGGCAGAATGGAGTTGAGCACTACTGGCTATCCTGGAGTAAGATCTACAGTTTTTCTTCAAGTTTTTATTTTACCTTGCACCAGAAACAAAATTCTTTAAAATCAGACAATTTCAATAGCACTAGAGAGAGCTTGGTTCTTAAGCACAGTGCACCAGGAAGCAGCCTTCCTACGTGCGCTCAGGAGTAGTTGTTTGCCAAGAGCAGCAGTTCTTCACTGGTCACCTAGTCTGAAACCTTGGCCCCAGTTGTGTCTTCTACCCCCCTGTTGTTGTTCTTCTGCAGCTCTTCGCGCACTAGCAGGTGGAACACCAAATCCCGAGACCCCTCCTCTTCTATTTGGCAGCCAGCGATATCTAGAAAAAAAGTAGCCAGGAAGAGAAAATTACACATGTTGTATATGCACCACTGTATTTTGATCTTTAAGCAGCATGAACTCACTTTATTAAGGTCCCAACCTTTGTACCTTCTAGATTTAACTGGGGGTTTATTTATTGAGAGCAAAGGAGTCAAAGATACGGCCCATAGGCTGGATCCAGCCTATGCAGCCATGTCCTGGAGAAGAGTGCTCCACAGGGCTCCAGGAGGAACTGGGGAGAGTGGAGGTAGAGCCTCCTGCTGAATTCTGGAGCACAGACCCCTACTGGGGACACACTTTGGTGGTGGCAGAGCAAGCACCAGCCATCAATCCCTGCAGCTCTAGCACTTGCAATGGTTAACACTGCCACTTGCCCTGCTGCCAAACGTGGGTTTGGATGCGGCCCGCCCATGAAGCCAAGCAACTCAGACACAGAATTCCAATTTACAGAATACTCTCCAAATAAACTCTAGTACCTTGGGAAATGGGGTGTGGCAAAAGGATAGTTATGATACTTGTCACAGGACTGTAGCAAGGTAAAAGCCTCACGCTGAAGGCTGTCCCCAGTCCATCCAGCTGTAGGTGTGTTGGAAAGTCAAAAACAGCTGGAGGTGACACCAGTTACTAGAGGTGTGCAAAACAGGCCCTATTCGATTCAGATTTGGCCCGAATCAAGGACAGTGATATGATCCGTTGACTAAGATCACTGTCCCCAATTCCATTTGGCCAAATCCAAATCTGACGGTTCAATGCTGATTTGGCAA